TATGTGTAGAGAATAATACAAAAAATAAGTAATTATATACGCATAAATTGTTAAGTAATTTAAAAATACGTTTTAATACAAAAATTTAATAGAGAACACGCAAATATTTCACTTGCTTCTTTAATTATTATTTAAAACGGAATGTTGAACGGATAATAGGGACTGGCGTTTGCACTGAAAATCAAGGGAAATCAATTAATATATTGTAACACGATAGCCTTATCATATATAATTAATATAAAATAAATTTTTTATAAATTATGATAATAAATTACTAATAAGTACTTACCCAATTAATGGACAAACTCTTCCATCGCAATCGAAAGTGTCAATATAAGCAATATCTTCTAACGAAAGTTTAAAGTCAAATACATCCATATTCTGAGCAATTCGTGATTTGGTAACTGATTTGGGAATCACTATATGGCCACGGTCCAACTATAAATAATTATTAAAGTTTTTTAACAAAAACTATGTATAAGACGCTTACAAGCATTACATGGTAGGGTCCTAAAGTCTAATAATTATCTATAAGAATTTATATATATAAATTCATTAGCAGAGAAAGATTTTGTTTCTATCGTCAACTACATGATGTTACTAACGAATTTGCGATATAACCAATTTATATTTTAACCAAAACCAAAACTATATATTTCTCTTAATATCTCGATAATCAAATAAATGACATCGATTAAAATCAATATCATTTGTAGGAATAAAAATTTTATAGCGAAAAATGTCATCTAAACAAAGTTTCAAATTGAAACTTCCTGACTTTCTGAGATAGATGTCTTTACTGTTTCGATTAAGGTATATGATTATCATAATATTTATCACAAGCAAATAAATAATAGACGTTGCAATCGCCGACACATAACATAAATATTTAAAGATCGATAAATGTTTTTAAACAGAAGAAATAAGTAATTAACTTATCGGAAATATATACTTGAAATATTGATAACATACTTGATAACGGATAAGAATTTGTGCAGGTGTCTTGTTGTACTTTTGTCCAAGCTCAATTAATTTCTTATCTTCCAGCAATTTTGGATCGTCTGGCTTGGCCCATGGTCTGTCCGGCGATCCAAGTGGACTGTATGCTGTAATAAGGATATCCTTTTCCTTACAAAAATCTGATAGCTTCTTTTGCGTTAAATATGGATGACATTCGACCTAAAAAATAACACAATAACAATGAAGGTAACTTCTTGCATTTTTTTATGCATGCTAGAAACTTTTAATTCTTGAAATTATACAATTTTACTTCAAAGTAATTTATAAATTAATATGATATTGATGCAATCTGCTACTTTAGTTCAATTATTGTCACCCTTGACCTACCTGATTTGTAACAGGTTTAACCGTTCCCTTCTCAAGTATCCTGGTAATTTGCTCGGAATTAAAATTACTGACACCAATGTTTTTGGTCAGCCCCTTGGACAGCACGCTTTCCATAGCCTTCCAAGTGTCGACGTAATCTACGTCACTCAAAGTAGAAGTACCATCAGGATTTGTCGGGAAAAGAGGTCCTTCTTCTTTATATCCGACTGGCCAGTGAATTAAATAGAGATCTATATAATCGAGATCAAGATCAGCTAGCGTTTGTTTAATGGCCGGTTCAACCAGATCTGGTCTATGGAAAGTATTCCATAGTTTGCTGGTGATGAATAGATCTTCTCGCTTTACAACGCCCTCCTCTATCTTTGCCGTGATAGCAGCACCGACTTCTTTCTCGTTGCGATAAACGTGAGCACA